TGCGCGTGTGGCTGGTAATTGGGAAGCTGGACACGTGTGGAGTCTATAATTAAACGAATCCGCATCGGGGAGAGTGCAACATCATTGGCCAAGTCAGTCCAATTTGCAAACACACTGTTACTAAAAAAACACCTTCGTTAATTGATGCTGGGCTTACCAGGGGATGACGCACGAAGCGAGCGTGTTGGCGTGAGTGAAGAAATCACTGCGGAAAATGCTGCATTCTAGGTCATGCATAATGCGGAAGGATAGTATCAGATGACCGTGTAGTTACCTGTGGAAGAGAAAACCGATTGAGAGTTGAAAACAAGCATGTACAGCAGAATTTATTGGGGCCAATAAATTTCGTGACGGCTTTTCAACTGCAGCCCGTTTTGCATAACATAGGTAACGAATGTTCTGCAGAGACGGGCTGCAGTTAAAAAGCCGTCACGAAATGTATTGGCTCCAATAAATTCTGCTGCACATGCTTGTTTTCAATTCATACCCAGAAAAAATGCTTCAGATTGAGAGTTAACAGTCTGTCTTCATAATGCAGTGATTCCTGGCCATGTGTCATTTATGGTACGGTCATTGTAAGTTCAAGGTCTCCATGACTGTTTGCCATATTCCAGATGGGACCACACGAATTTGCCAAATATCTTTAAAAAGCTACCTTTGTAAAATCCCATAAATCATTGTGTCCAAGTAGGGTGACTTTGAGGAGGCTGAGTTTCGACGTTCAACAAACCATAAATGGCAATTCCACCCTACCCGGCCTTTGCAGGCAACAATTCTGGGCAAATTACCCGGTCATAAAAACCAATGCCGAACTAAGTCCTAAAATTGGAATATATCGATGCGGCATTGCATTTTCGGCGGCGCAGGTCATTGAGCGTGGACGAAAATGGTCTCGGCGTTGGACTCAGATGCTGTGTGACCGACCGCCCCACCCCAACTCACTCTCCGAATCGAGATTCTGACCTCTGCGGATATGGTGGTAGTGGCAGATTTGGAGCGATCGGAAAAAAAGTCCAAAGATTTGCAGACCGCAGTGAAATTAGGCGCTTTCTCTAAACCATCAGTTCTGTTCAGTATTATTAGCGTAAAAATAGACGAACGCCGTTGAACTCCCCATTTTTTGCAGATTGTCTAGTAAGGAGCCCCTAAAAATTAAAAATTGAAAGAGAGATTGTCTACGTATTTGCGAGAGCATAGCAGGAAGCTGTCTCCTAGTCGAAAAAGTGTGAACATGAACGTCTACTTACGTATTGCAAGTGGTGTAGTAATGTGTTGAATATGTGAGTGCTTGTGTGGCTGGTAACTGGAAGGCTTGACAAATGTCAAGTCTACAGTCCTTGGCCGTCCAAGGTCTCCATGTCTGTATTGGATATTCTAGATGTGACCACACGAAGGTGCCAAATATCTCGCATAAACGAGGTGATTCTGATCAAGGGACTGCGTCATCGATTTCTTAATGATTTTCTTCATTAATGTGAAAAAATGCAGGCAAGGCTCATTAGCCTGTAGTTATTCAACGATCAAAAGCCACTCTCTAACTCAGAGGATACAACGAGGGTCGCGAATTCTGACGCCTTCAACCGAGTAGAAGACAGCTAGGTCAGTGTATCAGATGACTCACAGTGACGCAGAATGGCATTAGCGACAAAGACAAAGGAGACTGGAATGGCCACTTCTGGCTTTTTAGCAGTGCTCAGCCAGTCATACCCAACCCCCGATGTCCAGAACAAGCGGGGGTAGACCCAGCGACCGTAGCAACGAAGCCACGGACACGTCTTCACGTCATTTTGCATCGGGTATATACAATAGTAGAGGGGCACTCACCGATTGCGTTATGGAACTCACTCTTCCCGTCTCGATCCACGGGAGGATGAATATCATAACGCGATCGCAGCCAAGAGGACAGTAGGCCTGTGACTCAGTGGATTTGGGGTGCTGGATTTCTAATCAAAAGGTCGCAGGATCGAGCCCCAGGCGGACTGCTGCGACTCACTCCCATGCCTGCCACTATGGCCTCAAAACCTCCCACTCTTCCTTCTCATTAAAATTCTTTCCAAGAAAACTCCTAAACTCGTTTATTACATTCGCCATGCACTTTTCTATCACACACCTCAAATGCTAATCGGCGGATTTACAAATGGCTGCATTCTGTTATTGTTGCTGCTTTGCATAAAAGGGTATTTTCATTAATTATAATAGGATAGTGAAGGTAATAGGCAATACCACTGATGACGCTGCTGACAGCAGTACGTACAATGTTGATGTTAAAACATATTCATAAAGTGTTGTCACTAACATATTCATTAACATAAAAATATATCAGCAGTGAGAAACGTAAACCCGCACACTAGCCGAGTTTTCGAGGGTTACGGGCCGAGCGCCAGATGGCCATTTTCATTTAAATGCTCTCTTCTGCTGCTGCTGCGGCTGCTGTTGCTTCGAATGATTTTATAGTCGACACCGTAATGCCCCGACATGTGACGGCGGTCAAGCATTTCGTTGATCGAATTCTGCCCTGTGCCTTGCGACATATCTCCAGCATATCAGCATTACATCCCGCCATTGCTGACAGGGCAGGTGAAAGAGTAAAACTGAGGCTTGAACTGTTTCCGTAATACATATTTAGTTTCATGCAAATTGAGGTTATCTGGCATCATTTGCAAATATATATTATGGCCAAAATGCACGGAAAAAGTAATGCTTTCAAATGAAAGCGTCGTCCTCTCACTTTCTCTCTCGGTCTCTCTCTCTCTCTCTCTCTTTCCTCGCATTGCTGTTACCTTGCCTCTCAAATATCTCCCCTCCACTGCCAACAGCAATGTCCTCTGCATGTTATTATCGATTTCCAATTAATATTTGGTTGACTTCACTGCATTGGGGCTTGCAGAATTTCGGTCGGAGAAATCGCGTCAGGCCCTCTTCAGTTAAGCCGATACCTTCAAAGACAAAATTTCGATTCGATGCACGCACTATATTTGTGGTGACATTGCATGGCAGAATCCTCTACGGGTCCATGTGGGCCCCACATTGGAGGACGACGCCTGCCGCCACATGCCATCTCACAGTCCTCCATGGTTTCAAAACGATTCAAATTGCCGCCACATCCGCGATAGATGAATTCCTCACATACACCGAGCTCAGCATTGTAGGCATACATTGGGATCCTTGCTCTGCACATGCCAGATCTGATCGGCATGAAGCAGGGGTCCAGTCGTCCTGAAAACAAGAAAAGGAAACAGAGACTGCGTGAGCTATGTAGACAGGGTCCCAATTAATCTCCTAGTTCAGCATTAGGCCACAAATTTCTAGGTGGACGTTGTACATTACCACATGCGGTTTACATGAGATGATGTTACGAGATCGCTCCAGCAAATAAAGCATGCGACTTACCCTCAACTGCCAGCGCGGAGAGAAGGCAAGCGACGAATAGAAGGACAACCATTATCTAGAATTTATTCCTATACCCAGAGGTTAGGTATTTATATATATACTCTCAGTGGCCACCGTGGTTCAAAAAGGCCAGTTGCAATTGGTTTTTGCACAGGAAGTAATTTGCTGATGGGAATGCACATTCCCTGCATAATTCTGAACGACATAATTGTTCGACGCTGTGTGTGTCATTCTCATGAGAATATGGTCAGAAAATTATGAAGTTACTAAATTATCCTGATGCACAGGGAAACCTTCGAAATGGCCTCTGTACCCATTCAGCCATCTGACTATCAAAACTTGACACGGGGTGTCACTAGCTGACCACGCTTTGTGAATTGCGAGCGGCCATAGTTGTCGTTCTCTTCCTCTCAACATGTAATTAGTGCTATCGAATGCATTTAGTAACAGATAATATTCGCTAGTGATGGAAGAGTATGTGAAGTGTACCGGTCTGCAGTGACGCATCGACCGACAGATTACAGAGAGGACAACATACCGTCCCTCCAAATATAACGACGTCTCAAATATTGTCCCTGTTACTACACAGGACAAACTGGACGCATGCTCGGATCGCGCATACACGAAAAAAAGCTGGCTATGCATTATCACATGTGGCCGCCAACACCTACGAAATGGGTCACGCGTTTAACTTCGCAGCCACCAAAATAGTCGCCCACACCGGAAAGAAAACTGGCCGAGAATTGATTGAAGCCTGTGCCTCAGATGAGAACTCGGTCGATCGACTTATCGATCTGGCGCCGGCGTACAGAGCCCTTCGTAGTCACCTCCAGTCGGGCAAAGTCGGTGGATGATTGGGCCTACGTGCCTTATGACTGCCGCTTGTCCTGTTTCTGCCACTACCTCTGACGATGAACTCCTGTACGAGTCTGAAAGCTCAGAACAATTACGAAGTGTTCCGGTGCTCGACTCTCCTTCTTCACTTTTGCCGTTCTCTCCTACTCAGCATGTAATTAGTGCTATCGAATGCATTTAGTAACCGATAGTATTCACTAGTGATGGAAGAATATGCGAAATTCATCGGTCTGCAGTGACGCATCGGTTCACGGATTACAGAGAGGACCATATACCGTCCCTCCAAATATAACGACCTCTCAATTACATGACCTGTATGAGTGATCTTCTGATCGGTGACAATTCCTAACGGCCATTTCAGTCTCCCGCGTCCCTTTCGGGTAATGCTTTTGATCATTGCTCGGCTGTTGTGATAAGACCGTTTGCAAGAGCTTTGCACTCAGTAAACTTGCTTTGAGGAAATAAATCCGTGTTGTCACTTGAAAGCAGGATGGCTCGGTGGACTTCATACTCGCTTGACTTTAGATACTCTAATAGGCAGTTACATAAGCATGAATCCAAATTGTCAGTGTTCAGATCAAATACTGAATGATCTCGACTGGACCCCCCGTAAACGGGTGATCAACTGGTTGGGCTTAGGGTATGACCGAATCCAACGAACATGCATGCAACACTCCTATGCCATGTTGCAACCGACAGTCGTGATCTCCACAGCAAGGTGAAGTATGCACGACTACCTACGCGTGAGTTAGTTCATGGTGGTGGTAGACTTGCCAGGCATCTGCTATATTCCTTCCTCCTCCTCCTCCTCCTCCTCCTCCTCCTCCTCCTCCTCCTTCTCCTCCTCCTTCCCCAGCTGGACCCGGCGTCAAGACCAATTCCAGAAGAAGGGGGACGGGGAGGGCGCAAGTAAATGCCACACACAAGCCCACACTTTGCCGCTCCACGTCAGAAACTCTAATTCACACACGAAATCACCAGGATTATAACCAACAGCACGAATGAGGGAAGGGCAGTTAGGGGTCCCAATGTGACCGTCAGCTGGGTCTGTCACCGCATCCCCGGGATATTTATATTTGTTATGGTGCGAATTCCGATAACTCCCGCCACATGGCCCTCGTGTTGGTCCAGCGCATCTACCGCAGTACGCAACCTCACCCTTCACTCGTCACCATGGTTAAGAGGTGGATACTAAAATTTCTCAACCAGCATGCGACGTATGTATGACCATGTCTGCAAATAAACCTCATTATGCACATAGAAACTTGGGATTTAGGGACAATCTGTTTGTGCAAACAACTAAAGCATGGTCTCCGTGTTGGGTGACTTTGCAGAGGCTGAGTGGCGACATCCAACAAACCAGAAATGACAACCCAATCCGCACCCGTATTGTGACGGTAGCAATGCTGGACTATTGACTACCTTAGGAGACCTTAAAAACTAGTCAAGAAGTCTGTACTGAAAGCATAATACGTCGTTGGAGGCTACTCCCACTAGACATTGTGTTTCAGGGGCCGCAGGTCATTGAGCGTGGTCAAAAATGGTGAGGAAGTTGGGCTCAGGCGCTGTGCGACCGGCCCACTCCCCGAATCCGAATTCTGTCCTCCGTGGTCAGTGTGACAGTGGGAGATGCGAAGCGATTGGAGAGAATGTCCAAGAATTCGCAGACCGCAGTGAAATTAGGCGCTTTCTCTCAGCCATTAGTTGTGTTCAGTATTCTTAGCGTAAAAATGTACGAACACCGTTGAACTCCCTTTTGTTTGCTGACTGTCTAGTAAAGAGCCCCGATAAATTGAAAATTGAAAGAAAGAGTGTTTACGTATTTGCGTGAGCATAGCAGGAATATGCCCCGAGACAAAAAAGAGTGAACATTAACATCTACTCGTGCATTGCTAGTAGAAAAGTAATGTGCAAATTCAGCCACTGATTGCGTGAATTCGCGGGTGGCTGGTAATTGGGAAGCTGGACACCTATCGAGCCTATAATTAAACGAATCCGCATCGGGGAGAGTGCAACACCATCGGCCAAATCAGTCCACTTTGCAACTGCTCAGTCATTTTAAAAAATCTCCATTCATTGTCGCTTGTCTTGCCTGCGCGTAGTCCTAGGGGATGACACACGAAGCGAGCGTGTTGGCTTGAGTGAAGAAATCACTGCGGACAAAGCAGCATTCTAGGTCATGCATAATGCGGAAGGATAGTATTAGATCACCGTGCAGTTGCCTGTAGGAAGAGAGAATCAGGCTGAGAGTTAACAGTCTGTCTTCATAGTGCCGTGCTTTCTGGCCAGGTGTCATTTATGGTACGGTTATTGGCAGTTCACGGTCTCCATGACTAGATCTGACCACACGAAGTTGCCAAATATCTTTAAAAAGCTACCTTTGTAAAATCCTTTAAGGGCTCGCCCAGTAAGTGGCCGAATTGGCCACCTTCAGCCAGTTCAGTGTTGCTTTGAATGTGCATGTAATCCACACACCCATATTCTTCTCACTGCCATATTGGTGTGGTGGTGGTGGTGGTGGTGTACCGTTTGGAAATCAAGTCCCGTGACGACGGGTTCTGTAGCTGCTGAGTCGAAGGAAAGTACACTTACACGCATAAGCCAGCGCTTCAACCTGTCCTCGAGCCTGTTCGAATTCAGCTGCATATGGTCTCCGTCTGCCGCCAGTGAATAGGATGACACGCCCAGTCTAGGTCCCTGCCGTAGTCATTTATAAAAATAAATCGCAAACAACGGGACATTCGGGCTGCGGTTTAGTGGTTAAAGTCGTTGCACTTCTAACCAACAGGTCGCGGGTTCGTGCCCCAGATTTTACACACCTCTGGACTGGCCATGGCTGGCTGACCACGACTGGGACGCCAATAATGGTCATTTCCGTCTACCTCTTTTTTTCCATAAGTTTTTTTATATCTCTTTTCATTGCAATGCGTTTTTACCCTTTGGAATAGTGCCATACCACAGTTGGATCCTCACATCTGTCATTCTCTCTTCATATTAAAATCCTTTTTAAGAAAATTTGTAAACTCTTTTATTAATTTTGTCGTTCACTTTTCTATCATGCTTGATGACTCTTAAATCAGAACATACAATGCTGATGTTAAAAATATGTCACTAAAATGTTGTCAGTGACTTGGTTATTTGCAGAAAAGTGATTGCCAGCTAGCAGATGCCTGCATTCCGTTATTGTTTCTGATTTGCGTATAAGGGCACGTTAGTTTAAAATGAGTTATCTGAAAGCTTTTTTCTGCTAGTGCTCCTCTGCATGTCAGCTGAGCCGATATTATAATGCAAGGACATTTGACAACGCTTAAGCATTTAGCTAATCGAATTCTGAATTATGTTGTCAAACCCCTTCACTCTGGATTAATTCACGCTAAATCCTCTCGTCCCATGCGCGGTGCCTTGCAACATATCTCTTTTCTTACATCAGCATATCAGCACTATATAGAGCCATTGTGGACAGGATACCTTATGTGTAAAGACTTGAACTGTCCTGGCAGTACACGTTCAGTTATATGCAAATCTGTTTACTCCTGCATCTATCTTCCGGTCAAAATGAAAGGGAACACTTCTGCCTTCAAGGAAAACGCATTCCTCTTTCTCTCTCTTTCTCACCCATTTCTTATAGCTGTAACAGAGCCTCCCAAATATCTCTCCTCCAACGCCAACAGCAATGTCGTCCTTCTTCAGCCAATCAAGTGCTCTCAAAAAACAACATTTCGATTCGATGCACGCACTATATTTGTGGTGACATTGCATGGCAGAATCCTCTACGGGTCCATGTGGGCCCCACATTGGAGGACGACGCCTGCCGCCACATGCCATCTCACAGTCCTCCATGGTTTCAAAACGATTCAAATTGCCGCCACATCCGCGATAGATGAATTCCTCACATACACCGAGCTCAGCATTGTAGGCATACATTGGGATCCTTGCTCTGCACATGCCAGATCTGATCGGCATGAAGCAGGGGTCCAGTCGTCCTGAAAACAAGAAAAGGAAACAGAGACTGCGTGAGCTATGTAGACAGGGTCCCAATTAATCTCCTAGTTCAGCATTAGGCCACAAATTTCTAGGTGGACGTTGTACATTACCACATGCGGTTTACATGAGATGATGTTACGAGATCGCTCCAGCAAATAAAGCATGCGACTTACCCTCAACTGCCAGCGCGGAGAGAAGGCAAGCGACGAATAGAAGGACAACCATTATCTAGAATTTATTCCTATACCCAGAGGTTAGGTATTTATATATATACTCTCAGTGGCCACCGTGGTTCAAAAAGGCCAGTTGCAATTGGTTTTTGCACAGGAAGTAATTTGCTGATGGGAATGCACATTCCCTGCATAATTCTGAACGACATAATTGTTCGACGCTGTGTGTGTCATTCTCATGAGAATATGGTCAGAAAATTATGAAGTTACTAAATTATCCTGATGCACAGGGAAACCTTCGAAATGGCCTCTGTACCCATTCAGCCATCTGACTATCAAAACTTGGCATGGGGTATCACTAGCTGACCACGCTTTGCAAATCGGAAGAGGCCACAATAGTCGTTCCCTCCCTCTCAGCACACACTTAATGCTACCCAATGCATGAAGTAGAAACTAGTATTCACTAGTGATGAAGAAATTAAATGAAAATGAACTGGTCGGCATTGATGCATCATTTCACCGAAGAAACGATTGTAGGCTACCGTTGGTTTACACAGAGGGCCACATGCCATTCCTCAAAATATAAAACATCTCAACTGCATGATCTGAATTTACTGTTTACGGTTCGATGTAGTTGCGAAGGCATCCGTTGGTCATCAAGTGGCGCTGGAGGTAGCGTAGTTCTGTCGTCCGGCTTGGTGCAATGTGTTTCTGCCCTTCTGTAGAGTGTTCGCACACAACTGCGTTTGTGACGTAAGTTGTGATTACTGTGGTTGCTTAGGATTTATCGTGTATTGGTGGCCGGTAATAAGATTGCGACGTAGGTTGACGCAGGAACACAGCTGTGTTAGAGCGGAAACTGCTATGGCGGCCTCTTGCATCTCGTTTGAATAACACATTCTGATTATTGCTCAGCGGTTGGCATTAGACCGTTTGTAAGATCTGTGCAATCAGAGAATAAGCTGCAGTCAACGGTGGATCTCATGATATATCGGCCGAAATCGTGAAATGCGTATTCGGCTAGAGGGAGCCACTTAGATGTATTTGCAATATTAACCAATTTGCGACACAATGCATTCATATTCCAGGCACGGAAGGATGTTGGCTTTTAGACTCAGTTCCTTTTCGCAATCCAAAATCACCGTACTCGGCAAAATGACTAATTAAGTAGTATGCATTTTCTGTGTCCATTTTCGATGTCATAATAGATTCAGAAAAATTTTGCCAAAACACGCAAAAGTATCTTTTTTGTACTCACTTGGAAGCAACTCATGTCTTCATCAAATGTTATAGTCTAAAAAGTGATATATTTCAGTTTTAAAAACGTTTTTGAATTCTAGAATGATCTTGATCTCAACCTGTCGATGCGCTTAGGGTTTATAGCCTTCAAACTACATACCTTCGCGTAATTAAAAACATCTATTCGAACACTTGATCTGATAGGGCTCATACACTTTTGCAACAAATATGACCTGCGTTGCATGCATCACGCGGAGCATTATTAAACAGATATATACAAGGCTATCTGAATTGACATTGCACAGCCTTTAGAATCTCATAAATAATTTTTTAAAACCGAAAGATACGCATCCTTTGAGTGCAAAATTTGAAAAAGACGTGATTTGCTACAAAATAATTACAAAAGGACTATTTTCATGCATGTTTTCAAAAAAATAATTCCTAATTCCTGAACATATGGAAAATCTATAGAAAATATGCCCACTCAACAAGTAGTCATTTTGTGCCGGCTGCTGTCACTTCAGGCGGGCGAAAGGAGGTGCACTTAAAAGCCAACAGCCTGCCGTGTCTGAAATATCACTGCGTCAGGCAGCAAGATAAGAAATATCACAATGCAGCTTAAGTATTCCTTCTTAAATGAATACGTATTTCACAATTTCGGCCAATATTTCATCAGATCATTCACTGACTGTATGATGAGCTAGCATCGCTGTGTTTCAGACTCACTTTTCGTTGCGTACTCGGGGTTGCAGCCACATGGCCAGAAATCCAACTCTTCAGATTGTTCGCTCAAATACTGCATGACCTCCTCGACTGGACCGTCTGTCCACTGATGATCCAGTGGTTGGGCTAAGGCTGTTGCTATAATTGCACAGCATCTACCACGCTCCCTCATCCTACATCAGCCGGACCCAGTGTCGAGACAAATTCAAGAAGACCGGAGTCGGGCGAGGGTGCATGGATGGAACTCGCATCTTGACGCTCCACTTCACACCCTCTGGTACACACAGCAAATGACCGGGCTTTAAACCAACAACAACAATGGGTGGGGGCGGCAGCAGTCCCAGTACGCCCGATATCTGTCGTCAACTGGGTCTCCCACAGCATCCGCGAGATGTTGGAATGTGTTTTTGGCGTGCTTTCCGATAACTCCTGCAAGAATCCAATATGGTCCCCCCTGTTGGTCCAGCGCATCTAACGTGTCGCCCGTTGGAGGTAGAACTATGCCGTGACCACCGCAGTACACAACCTCCCCCCCCTCCATCTCAACCAGCAGGTGACGTATGCATATCCATGTCTGTAAATAAACTAAAATATGAACACAGATGCTTGGAATTTGCGGGCATTCTGTATGCACTAACAACAAGTGCATTGAGTTTCTGACGTGGAGCGTCAAAGTGCGGGCTTGAGAGTAGCATCTACTTCCGAACTACCGGCCTCCAGTCTTCTTGACTTTGTCTTGACACTTGGTCCAGGTGGGGAAGGAGGAGGAGGAGGAGGAAGGAATATACCAGATGCCTGGCAAGTCTACTACCACCATGATCTTTCTCACTCATAGGTAGTCGTGCATACTTCACCTTGCTGTGGAGATCACGACTGTCGGTTGCAACATGGCATAGGAGTGTTGCATGCATTTTCGTTGGATTCGGTCAGACCCTAAGCCCAACCAGTTGATCACCTGTGTACGGGGGGTCCAGTCGAGATCATTCAGTATTTGATCTGAACACTGACAATTTGGATTCATGCTTATGTAACTGCCTATTAGAGTATCTAAAGTCAAGCGAGTATGAAGTCCACCGAGCCATCCTGCTTTCAAGTGACAACACGGATTTATTTCCTCAAAGCAAGTTCACCGAGTGCAAAGCCCTTGCAAACGGTCTTATCACTACAGCCGAGCAATGATCAAAAGCATTACCCGAAAGGGACGCGGGAGACTGAAATGGCCGTTAGGAATTGTCACCGATCAGAAGATCACTCATCCAGGTCATGTAATTGAGAGGTCGTTATATTTGGAGGGACGGTATATGGTCCTCTCTGTAATCCGTGAACCGATGCGTCACTGCAGACCGATGAATTTCGCATATTCTTCCATCACTAGTGAATACAATCTGTTACTAAATGCATTCGATAACACTAAATACATGCTGATTAGGAGAGAACGGCAAAAGTGAAGAAGGAGAGTCGAGCACCGGAACACTTCGTAATTGTCCTGAGATTTGAGACTCGTACAGGAGTCCATCGTCAGAGGTAGTGGCAGAAACAGGACAAGCGGCAGTCATAAGGCACGTAGGCCCAGTCATCGACCGACGGCGCAAGACTGGACGTGACTACGAAGGGCTCTGTACGCCGCGCCAGATCGATAAGTCGATCGACCGAGTTCTCATCTGAGACACAGGCTTCAATCAATTCCCGGCCTGTTTTGTTTCAGGTGTGGGCGACTATTTTGGTGGCTGCGAAGTTAAACGCGTGACCCATTTCGTAGGTTTTGGCTGCCACTTGTGATAATGCGTAGCCTGGCCGCACAGCCAGCTTATTTTCGTGTATGCGCGATCAGAGCATGCGTCCAGTTTGTCCTGTGTAGATACAAGGTCAATTTTTTGAGACGTCGTTATATTTGGAGGGATGGTATGTGGTCCTCTCTGTAATCTGTAAACAGGGGCGTAGGGGTGTCAGCGGTGGGTTTACGTAATGTTCGTGGTGGTCGCTCGCTTACTTGCAGGCGAGACTGCGCCTAGCGTCCACTTGCTGGCACTCAACTCTCACCTGTTGCTCCACGTAGCTGGACTCTGCTCAGCGGCCAACCCCGGGCAACCGTCTCGACCGACGGGCTAAACCAGGTGAGGGGGCCCTGTGCGCTGTGCCGTGTGCACAGGGTTTGCGGATTCCTTGGATGGAAGGTCGGATGGAACCTTGCGTCGGCACCGTCGTGACTTGGTTCGTCTCTGCACGCCGCTGGACAGCTGGTGACGGGATGGATCTCCACATCGACATCGCCTTGACGCGCCCACCTACGCCGTCGGAGACCGCGGCTTACGGCGAATTCGAGTCGCTCTCCACGACAACCCGAAGTCGCGGTCCCATAGTGGAGTTCGGGCGTGCCACAACGGCACATGGGCAGCCCTATCCAGGGGTGGCACTGCCAGCCCTCACGAGGGGAACGACTTAAAAAAGGTGGCCTAAACATTGCTGGGTACCACGCCGTCTCCAGGCTAGCCAGGGCCGCAGACGTCTAAACATGGTCGAAACAATCAAAATCGAAACAACAATAACACCAATAACAACAACAACCATATTCATTCTCTTCATCCTACCTCTTCTTCCTCTTCCTCTGCCTATTCTTCTGCCTATTCTTCTCCTTCGTCATCTTCTTCTCCAGCTCCTTCCCGTCGCCCCACCCGTTGTCACCAGACTGGCAGGGTGAGCCCGCTCACTCTGGCAGCCTGGAATGTTCGTTCCCTTTTAGACTATCCGATGAGCAACCGACCGGAACGGAGGACGGCGTTAGTGGCACGAGAACTGGCGCGCTACAATGTGGACATCGCCGCACTCACCGAGACCCGATTCTCCGAACAAGGCCAACTGGAGGAGGTGGGTGCCAGCTAACCTTCTTCTGGAGAGGTCGACCCAGGGTCCGGAGACGAAGGGCACTGCTCCTCTCCTCAGCGCCGACGACAACACTCTCCTGACTGAGAAGTCGCAAATCCTGCAGCGATGGGCCGAGCATTTCCGAGGCGTCCTAAACCGCCCCTCCGTCATCTCCGACGCAGCCATCGAGCGTTTGCCGCAAGTGGAGACCAACGTTGACCTCGACCTCCCGCCATCTCTCCAGGAGACCATCAGGGCCGTGCAGCAGCTCTCCAGCGGTAAGGCACCCAGATCCGACGCGATCCCTGTTGAGGTCTTCAAGCACGGAGGTCCACAAACGATGCATCATCTGACTGCGCTCTTCCAAGAGATGTGGCGTTAAGGTGAAGTCCCGCAAGATTTCAAGGACGCAACCATCGTGCATCTCTACAAGCGCAAAGGGAATCGCCAAGTCTGCGACAATCACCGCGGCATCTCCCTGCTGAACATCGCCGGGAAGATCTTCGCACGAATCCTCCTCAACCGCCTCAATAACCATCTGGAACTGGGCCTTCTGCCGGAAAGCCAATGTGGCTTCCGTCGTCATCGTGGGACCACGGATATGATCTTCGTCGCCCGCCAACTTCAGGAGAAGTGCCAGGAGATGCGGACCCACCTGTACTCTACCTTCGTGGACCTGACGAAAGCCTTCAACACGGTGAATCGTGAAGGACTGTGGAAGATCATGAAGAAATTCGGCTGTCCGGATCGATTCACTCAGATGGTGCGTCAGCTGCACGACGGTACGATGGCGCGAGTAACGGACAACTGAGCTGTCTCAGAGGCATTCGCAGTGACCCACGGAGTGAAGCAGGGCTGCGTGCTGGCGCCTACCCTCTTCAGTCTCATGTTCTCTGCCATGCTGTTGGACGCCTACCGCGACGAACGCCCCGGGATCCGCATCGCCTACAGGACGGACGGTCACCTGCTGAATCAACGGCAGATGCACTTCCGATCGCGTGTCCACAACCACCGTTCACGAACTCTTCTTCGCCGACGACTGCGCCCTAAACACCACCTCGGAAGAGGAGATGCAACGGAGCATGGACCTGTTCTCCGCCGCCTGCGAGAACTTTGGGTTGGTCAGTTACACGCAGAAGACGGTGGTTATGCACCGACCGCCACCCAAATCAGCCACAGCCTTCAACGCGCCGCCGCAAATCAGCGTGAACGGAACCCAAATGCAGGTGGTGGAGAACTTCCCGTACCTGGGAAGTACTCTCTCCCGCAGCACCAAGATAGACGACAAAGTCGCCAACAGCATCTCGAAAGCCAGTCAATCCTTCGGTCGCCTCCAAAGCACAGTTTGGAATCGCCACGGTCTTCAACTGAGCACAAAGCTGAAGATGTACAAGGCCGTCATCCTGCCGACACCACTGTACTGAGCGGAGACTTAGACGGTGTACGCAAAGCAGGCGCGTCGTCTGAACCACTTCCACCTCAGTTGTATTCGTCGCATCCTGAGGCTAAAGTGGCAGGATCGAATCTCCGACACTGATGTGCTGGAACGGACGAGAATCCTCAGCATCTACGCCATACTGAGGCAAATGCAGCTGCGCTGGAGCGGCCACCTGGTGCGCATGGACGACGAGCGACTACCAAAACGACTCTTCTACGGAGACGTCGCGACGGGTTCTCGCCGCCAAGGAGGCCAGATTCGCCGTTACAAGGATACCCTGAAGTCCTCCCTGAAATGCCTGCAAATCAACCCAACCAACTGGGAGGAGCTCGCACTCGAGCGACCGACCTGGAGGAGGACAGTGAAGACAGGCGCTGCGATCTACGAAGCCAACCCCATCGCTGCCGCCAAAGCGAAAACGTGAAACCCGCAAATCACAACTTCGCCCAGTCAGCAACGCCGCCACACAACCGCTTCCAACGTGTCCTTGATGTCAGCGGATATTCCGGGCTCAAATCGGACTTGTTGGACATCTTCGGATTAACTGCGCCTCTCGAACGGCACCTTCTATCGTCCCCCCGCCTGCCTCTTCCTCCTCCTCTCCGCCGCCAACTAACCCTGACAATTCTTCTGACCCACCACTTCCATCATCCTCCTCCTCCTCCTTCTTCCTCTCGCCCACTGCTCAAACGGCGGCTGCTCAGAGCAACCGACACTACCACCACCTCCCCCAACTCCAGGGATGAGGATCAGGACTACACCTGCCCTCACTGCGACCGTACCTTCACCTCACACATCGGCCTGGTCGGTCACTTGCGAATCCATCGCACAGAGACTGGCAAACCAGTGCGTGAAGCACCAACCTACACCCACCGCACTCGCCTCCACTGCCCACACTGCCCTCGCACCTTCAGGCATTGCATGGACCTTTTCGGCCACATGCGTATCCAAGAGAGCGGCCTTGACCGCACTCCCGACAAACCCACCACTTTCAACACATCCACCGTGCACAACTCCACCCTCGTTCCATTCGTCCACGCCAACACCACCACCACCGCCTCCTCTGTGTCTGACACTGACACCGCCGAATTCTCATGCCCACAGTGTCCACGCACATTCACCTCACGCATCGGCCTGATCGGCCACTTGCGAATCCATCACACAGAGACTGGCGAACAAGTGCCTGGAGCACCCACCTATACCCAACAAGCTCGTCTCAACTGCCCACACTGTCCTCGCACTTTCAGGCGTCGCATGGGCCTATTCGGCCACATGCGCATCCACGACGACCTGCGGTAGACAACCGCCGGTCACACCACACATTCACTCACTACCTACCTCCTCCACCACCACCATCACCCCACCAGAAATCAACACTCACACACCTTATGCACCCAATTACCACCTCCCATGCAAGTGGGAAATCCGCATCTCGACTCGGTCCCCCTGCGGCTTCGGCTGCACGAGTGACTTGAGTCCGAGACTATCCCGACACGTCAAGCGTCGTTGATAGGAACGTTGCGGATTGACGCCCGCTCTCGGTTCACGAAGTTCGTCGCGTTGTGTGTGTTGTGTGGAGTGGCGGACTGGTGGGCTGGGAACGGGCTGAAACTGCACCTTCCACGGCACTCTCACGCAAGTGAGAGACACGCCGTTCAGCCCCCGTTGTGTGAAATCCTGGTGTTTGTGTGTGTATAGGGGGTCAGGTCGTGCCGTGGCGCGCGCAGACATGGTCAGTCGACCATGTCAGCCACCGCGCCCATTCCCCACTCCAGTCTACTGACCGGCTCGGACAGCGGCTGGGGTGTGGGAGTGGGAAGGGAGAGTGAGTTCGACGACTCAGCGCATTTTCCTCACTATGAACAATCTGACGCGCTTGAAGCTATCACGGTGCGCTAAAAGCCGTGGCTTGGAAGGTTGCCAGCCGACGGGGTAACTTGGACCTCCTCCTTCACGGGAGGCGGTCTGAGAGTCAGACTGCAATGGCTCCTTTTTAATGTGGCCTTTATGGCACTCCTACCACAGTGTGGGATCCGAGCCAGGCGTTGGCGGCACGCCCAGGTGCGGCTTCGGCCGTGCCAGCCTCCAAATCTCTGTTGTGTTGGTTGAAATCCTGGTTATTGGTGTGTGGACCAGGGGGTGTGGTGGAACGCCAAGGTGAGGATCCGTCCGAGCAATCCACCTGCGGCCTCTCTCGTCTCCGGTCTTCTTGACACTGTCTTGACACCGGGCTCGGGCGAGGGAGGAAGAGAGAGTGCAGGTAGATGCTACGCAAGTCTACCGGCAATATAAACCCCTGCGTAAGTCACCGTCCCTGCTCCCATTGCTGCTGCAACATTGGGGCACAGGGTGGACCTCATCGAAACCGATGGTCGATCCGTCAATCTGAAAACTGATGCGTCACTGCAGACCGGTACATTTCCGCATACTCTTCCATCACTAGTGAAGATTATCTGGTACTAAATGCATTCGATATCACTAAGAACATGCTGAGAGGAAGAGAACAACAACTATGGCCGCTTCCGATTTACCAAGCGTGGTCAGCTAGTGACACCCCATGCCAAGTTTTGATAGTCAGATGGCTGAATGGGTACAGAGGTCATTTCGAAGGTTTCCATGTGCATCAGAATAATTTAGTTACTTCATAATTTTCTGAACATATTCTCATGAGAATGACACACACACAGCGTCGAACAATTATGTCGTTCAGAATTATGCAGGGAATGTGCATTCCCATCAGCAAATTACTTCCTGTGCAAAAACCAATTGCAACTGGCCTTTTTGAACCACGGTGGCCACTGAGAGTATATAAATAAATACCTGACCTCAGGGTGTAGGAATAAATTCTAGATAATGGTTGCCCTTCTATTCGTCGCTTGTCTTCTCTCCGCGCTGGCAGTTGAGGGTAAGACGCATGCTTTATTTGCTGGAGCGATCTCGTCACATCATCTCATGTAATCTGCAATTCCCAATGTACAACGACCCCCGAGAAATTTGTAGCCTAATGCTGAACGAGGAGATTAATTGGGACCCTGTCTACATAGCCCATGCATTCTCTGTTACCTCTTCTTGTTTTCAGGACGACTGGACCCCTGCTTCATGCCCATCAGATCTGGCATGTGCAGAGCAAGAATCCCAATGTATGCCTACAATGCTGAGCTCGGTGTATGTGAGGAATTCATCTATCGCGGATGTGGCGGCAATTTGAATCGTTTTGAAACCTTGGAGGACTGTGAGATGGCATGTGGCGGCAGGCGTCGTCCTCCAATGTGGGGCCCACATGGACCTGTAGAGGATTCTGCTATGTAATTTCACCCCAAATATAGTGCGTGCATCGAATCGAAATGTTGTTTTTGAAAGTATCGGTATGACTGAAGAGGGACTGAAGCGATTTCTCCGACCCAAATTCTGCGAGCCACAATGCAGTGAATTCCACCAAATATTAATTGGAAATCGATAATAACATGCAGAGGACATTGCTGTTGGCAGTGGAGGGGAGACGTTTGAGAGGCACGGTAACAGCCATGCGAGGAAAGAGAGAGAGAGAGAGCGAGAGAGAGAAAGAGAGAGGACTACGCTTTCATTTGAAAGCATTACTTTTTCCGTGCATTTTGGCCATAATGTATATTTGCAAATGATGCCAGATAACTTCAATTTGCATGAAACTTAATATGTATTACGGAAACAGTTCAAGCCTCAGTTTTACTCTTTCACCTGCCCTGTCAGCAATGGCGGGATGTAATGCTGATATGCTGGAGATATGTCGCAAGGCACAGGGCAGAATTCGATCAACGAAATGCTTGACCGCCGTCACATGTCGGGGCATTACGGTGTCGACTATAAAATCATTCGAAGCAACAGCAGCCGCAGCAGCAGCAGAAGAGAGCATTTAAATGAAAATGGCCATCTGGCGCTCGGCCCGTAACCCTCGAAAACTCGGCTAGTGTGCGGGTTTACGTTTCTCACTGCTGATATATTTTTATGTTAATGAATATGTTAGTGACAACACTTTATGAATATGTTTTAACATCAACATTGTACGTACTGCTGTCAGCAGCGTCATCAGTGGTATTGCCTATTACCTTCACTATCCTATTATAATTAATGAAAATACCCTTTTATGCAAAGCAGCAACAATAACAGAATTCAGCCATTTGTAAATGCCCCGATTAGCAGTTGAGGTGTGTGATAGAAAAGTGCATGGCGAATGTAATAAGCGAGTCTAGGAGTTTTCTTGGAAAGAATTTTAATGAGAAGGAAGAGTGGGAGGTTTTGAGGCCATAGTGGCAGGCATGGGAGTGAGTCGCAGCAGTCCGCCTGGGGCTCGATCCTGCGACCTTTTGGTTAGAAATTCAGCACCCCAAATCCACTGAGTCACAGGCCTACTGTCCTTTCGGCTGCGATCGCGTAATGATATTCATCCTCCCGTGGATCGAGACGAGAAGAGTGAGTTCCATAACGCAATCGGTGAGTCCTCCTCTACTATTGTATATACCTGAAGCAAAACGACGTGAAGACGTGCCCGTGGCTTCGTTGCTACGGAGCGCTGAACTTCTAATCAACAGGTCGCTGGGTCTGCCCCCGCGTGTTCCGGACATCGGGGGTTGGGTATGACTGGCTGAGGACTGCTAAAAAGCCAGAAGTGGCCATTCCAGTCTCCCTTGTCTTTGTCGCTAATGCCATTCCGCGTCACTGTGAGTCATCTGATACACTGACCTAGCTGTCTTCTACTCGGTTGAAGGCGTCAGAATTCGCGACCCTCGTTATATCCTCTGAGTTAGAGAGTGGCTTTTGATCGTTGAATAACTGCAGGCTAATGAGCCTTGCCTGCATTTTTTCACATTAATGAAGAAAATCATTAAGAAATCGATGACGCACTCCCTTGATCAGAATCACCTCTTTTATACGAAATATTTGGCACCTTCGTGTTGTCACATCTAGAATATCCAATACAGACATGGAGACCTTGGACGACCAAGGACTGTAGACCTGACATTTGTCAAGCCTTCCAATTACCAGCGACACCAGCACCCACATATTCTACACATTACTACACCACTTGCAATACATAAGTAGACGTTAATGTTTACTCTTTTTCGACTAGGAGACAGCATCCCGCTATGCTCACGCAAATACGTAAACAAACTTTCTTTCAATTTTCAATTTATCGGGGCTCTTTACTAGACAGTCTGCAAATAGTAGCACGTTACTGCGCTACTAGCAATGCGTGAGTAGATGTTCATATTCACTCTTTTTCAACATATAGGCAGCATCCTTCAAAACGCACGCGGATAAGCAGATAGGGAGCTTAACGGCGTTCGTCTATTTATACGTTATTCAGACTGAACAGAAATGATGAATGAGAGAAAGCGTCTAATTTTACTGCGCTCTGTGAATTCCTGGACTTTCTCTCCAGTCGTTTCGCATCTCCCACTGCCACAATATCCGCAGAGGTCAGAATCCCAATTAGGGGAGTGGGGTGGGACGGAAGGTCACACAGCTTCTGAGCCCAACACCCTCACAATTTTCGTCCACGGTCAATGACCTGCGCCGCCGAAAATTCAATGTCCAGTTCGAATAGCCTCCACCGATATATTCTAATTTTAGGGCAGAATTCGGTATTCGCTTTTATGACCGGGTAAATTGTCCAGAATTGTTACCTTCAAAGGCCGGAGAGGATAGAATTGTCATTTCTGGTTTATTGAACGTCGACACTAAACCGCTGCAGTCACCCTGCTTGGAGACAATGATTTTCTTGCTCTCACAAACAAGTAGAAATTTGTATTTACGTAATTGTGTTTACGTAATTATATCAAGTAAATTATTAGTACATTTTTGCAAAAATGGACGTTAGAATATATTTGTGCGATTTCACATGCTAATACATGTCCTAGATTCCGGTCACGCATCTGAGCAATTTTTTCATTTAAAGGATAGTCTGGTATTAACCGTGGTAATCAACCTGCTAACACAAAGGTTAGTTTAAGAAAATCAGAGGTTTTATCAATTCCTAAATGTGAAACTAGCAGATCTATGCGGTTTGGTGCGCTAACGAGCGATAATAACGCAGATAGGGAAAACTGTTCTGCAATTTACATTTAGAATGTGGGCAGTTGACAAACCGCCATGTATGAAATCACACAAATTATTAAACGATATTTAGATGTAAATTTCACTGAATCATTATTATTAGACGTTATTTTATTTTTACTCTCCTGTTTACTACGTTGTTGGTATAAAGATACATTCTAAAATCTAAAAACGAAGTTTACTAAATTAGAGCCATTTCTGACTTTTTC